TGTTGCAGGCAAGTCTTCTAGCCGGCGTTTCTAGGCCACGTTTGAAGCTCTTACGGAAGTAGGTAAATCAGCGCCCCAAATGGCCCCAACAGCCCAAAGTTGATCAAGCACCAGTTTCACAAACTCGAACAAGGAAAACAAAAAGGAAAGGACTCTGCAGCTGCCGGCGGTGGTGAAAGTCTCTAAGCGCACCTGTCAGCGCGACCTCCATGCTTTTCCTTTCGCTGGGACATGCGCCAGCACGGCCCTTGCGGCCTCCAGCGGCCATGGTCTCCTTGTTGCATTTGCGGCTGTGGGATGCAGCAGCAGCTGACACCTTGACTAGTCCGTGGGCATGATGCAGAACTTCATGGCAGAGGGCAGAAAAGGAGAGACAGTTTTTAAGGGAAAAGGCCGCTCGAATATGTTCGAGAGCATATGGGCCAAGAACTCCCGGTTCCTTCAGCCCCCTCTCCTCTTCCCTCCGAAGCTGTCCGTTCTGACGTTGCCCGAAAGAAAATAAACCAAAAAAAAATGCCTACTCAAAGGCAGTACAGACAAGCGGCCAAAGATGCATGCGTACTGCCACTTCGCCAAGGATTCTCGGGGCTCTGCCATGGAACACAGTCGGCACCACCAGTCTACGCACCATCCTCAAGCAAGAGAAGGCGAAGCAGAAAACCTGCCAACCCACGTCGACCCACAGCAGCATAAGCATCGCAAACAGTGTTGATGGTGCGCAGTGGCTGTTGGTCCTGAGAGCAAGCAAAACATGCAGAGGGATGGCATGGCATGACTGGCATGAACAAATGGCATCATCACACATACTGACCAAACCCCAAGACGGTTGAAGTATTGGGGGCGATATAGTGCAATAAGCAGAGCGAGGCTTACGATCGTTCATGCAGTAGTTATGGAGGAGCCTGGTTGCACCATCAAAGGCTCAGCATGGTGCCGTGAGCCTACGATGCTCCCGGTATTGCGGCATGACCGTGAATACGTTAAGAGATATTTTAGCGCTTGATTATGCTGATGCCAGCGCTGCAGCTGCAATCATCTCTGGGACCACACGCTATAGCCGTGACGGGATTCACGAAGCGAGACAGAACGAGAGGCACCTCAAAGAGTGCAGCGTATCCTTTGTGGGTTTGTGCTCTCCACATGTCTCAGGGTCTCGGGCAAAATATCCATGAAGATGAAGCGGGCAGATCGGTGTTTCGCGTGGATGCGCGCATGCAGTTCTAAACTTGCTGCATGTTGGAGTGGGGCCAGTCCGTGTTCACATAAGGGGCCGCAACCCCCAAACACTTGTCACTGGCGGTCTTCTTGTGGGTTGTAGCACCCCTCGGACTTGCAGGGCACTTGGTCGCACTTTTGCTTCTGGAGCTTTCTGGATCAAACCGTGATCACTTGCCTGCGAAGAGGGAGAATCAGTTATGTGCCGGACTTGGGCCGGCGCGGGTATCGCGTCCTAAGATGTGCAAGATCAAGCCAAGGTTGAGGAGTGCCATCCTCCGGGAAGCACATGTTCCCTGGTACAAGAAGTTCAACTGGTACAGCTTCGCCCTGTACAGGTACAAGGCCGTTCGTTGGAGTTGGTCCCGAAGTCTGAAAATTGAAGAATCAGCCCGGCACAGCACCCGTGCAGGTCTACGATGTCATCTGGCGGGTTTCAGCAACAGCTACTATCGGCTCCGATCCTACTTGTGTACTTCACCAGAGCTGCCTTGTTGCTTCTGTTGGATTCATGTCATCGCATGGATTCCAAACAGCCTCCAAGGCGCGTGTCTCTACTTGAGCGTTGCCGTCGTGCAGACGTGGAATGCGTCTGTGCATCGGACTTGGCAACACTATGCCAGAAAGGACCTCGTCTTCCGATGGATCTCTGGTCGGTCACCGCGTGTTCTCCGGCCCGCAGGAGAGAGAACGAGCAGAACTTATGGACTTCATTCGCCAGGCCAGGGCCCATGCGCAGCAAAGCTGATGGCGCAATGTCCCTGTGACGCTTTGACTGAGGCACGTGAGAAGGGTACACTGCCACCCAGCAAGGCAGCTCTTGAGCTTGTTGACACCAGATAACAAGAAACAAGTCGGCCCCGTCTTGCCGACGGCTGTCAGGTCGCTGGCTTTGAGTGATCGCCAATGCATTGTTTGTTGGTGTTCTAGCAGCTATGTAGCAGCTATGTAGAGCTGTGGGTGGTTCGGCCGCGCCAGCCAAGTCCCCAACAGTAAGGGAATGGATGGCCGCGCCAACTGAAAGATTGGGCATGTTTCACCCAAACGCGGCGAGATGCAGTGAATCAAGGGCAAGGTGCTGCCCTGGGACGAGGTCGTCTGATGCTATTTCAGTATCTCCAGCCGGCCATTCCGCGAAACCAGTGCGGTTGTCGTGTAGCCTCGGATCCTTTGCAACTTGAATTGTTCCGCGCAGCCACACTGCGTGTTTCGCCGTTTTGCCGTTTCCAGATCAGAAGCGGAAGCAGCACTGGCCAGTTTGGACCCCAGAAAGAACCCACACCAACCACAGTGCACTTCCAGGCATGACCGGGTATTCTGTATGCTACGCTCACGAAGTCACAACAAGCGCCGACTGATTCAAACATTCCGCTGCTTCGCACCCAACAGCCGAAAGCCTACGTACACGCACAGCTGCCAGGCTGTTAACTTGAGTTCACGCACTGCGTGGTGCTTTTGGCGACCAGCGATGTGCCTCGATGTGTCCCCGTTATGGCCGCGGCCAGTGAGGGAGATGATTCTCGGAATCAAATGGCTTATATGTAGGAGCATAAAAACCAGAAGTCTCAGGGAGCCACACCACACCCGTCTCGCAGATCTCGACATCTCTCGACATCTCTCGACACCTGATTCCAAGGAGGCGTCGAGCCGCATCAACGTGGCGGTGCGCTGCCGGCCCCTGTCGGAGACCGCCGCTGGGCACCGACGAAGAAAACCATACTTATACGGGGCCGGGGAGAGAGTGAGAGAGAGTGAGAGAGAGAGTGAGCGTGAGTGCAGGATGGAGGCACAGTTGACGCATGCGTGGCATCTCGCGAAAACGGTGGAAGTCTTCTCCTAAGCATAGGAGCCATCAAGAAACGGGTTGTTTCCAGTGGTGGGCCCGCCTCTTCTGCGTCGCCTGGGATTGCCGACACTTTCTGCCCGCACTTCCTTCTCGCAGTTTTGTGCTGGGCAACACGTGATGCGCCGCAGCTCAGGAAAGGAGCAACAATGTACAGAGCATCTGCAGGGTCATGGACAGGCGGCTGGTGATCTTGCTGGACCCAGGACCAGCAAAATCAGCAAAGCGCATGAACTTCTAGGATTCTACGGGCCTGTGGTCTGACCTGCATTGTGGAACACACAGGAGCATCAGCTGCCAATGACTACCTTCGGCAAGACAAGTCGAAGGAGAAGCGTTTTGCATTCGACCAAGCGTTCGGTTCAGATGTTGACACAAAAACTCTTTTCAAAGCCACAACGGAGCCTCTGATCAAGTCGGCTTCTTGATTGCAAAGATTACTATGTAGATTAGAACCTCTCGAGCCTGGATGTGGCTGCCCGATGAGATGCGCTGATTTCGCACACATCCGAGGTTCTGCAAGGCTACAATGCCACTGTTTTTGCTTACGGTTCCACTGGAGCAGGCAAGACTTTCACCATGATAGGTACGACGATCGAACCGGGCATCATGTTTCGAAGCGTTGAAGAGATTTTTGCTGGTGTGGCTGGATCTGATGACCACACCTTCACAGTAACTTGCACTTTTGTCGAAGTCTATAACGAGAACTTGCGGGACCTGGGATCCAGCGATGGCAAGGAGGGCATTCTGGACCTGCGGGAAGACCCCGTGACTGGCACGTATGTTGTCGGCATTACGGAGATTCGCGCAGAATCAGTGCAGGAGGTGATGGAGCCTCGGCACACAATTCAGAAATCTACAGCCTCTTATGTGGATGATCGGGTTAGTTGTACATGCTACTGTATGGTATTCAAGAGTTGGCTGAACATCCAAGGACTTGCTTCAGATGGGCAACCAGCGCCGCACGACAGAGCCAACATCCATGAATGTTACCTCCTCCAGATCCCATGCTGTTCTTCAGGTTCGGGTGGAGCGCCGTGGCAATCCATCTCTAGGCATCTTGATCGGAAAGCTGTCGATGATCGACCTCGCCGGATCAGAGCGCGCCTCGCACACCAACAACAGCGGGCTCCGGTTGTTGGAGGGGGCGAACATCAACCGCTCTTTGCTGGCGCTTGGGAACTGCATCAACGCCTTGGCATCGGGATCCCATTTCGTGCCCTACCGGGACTCGAAGTTGACAAGGCTTCTGAAGGATTCTCTCGGCGGCAACTGCCGCACCGTCATGGTCGCAAATATTTCTCCAAGCCACGTGAGTTATGAGGACACACTGAACACTTTGAAGTATGCAAACCGGGCAAAGCACATCCGGGTACGTGCGAAGCAGAACTTGGTCCGGCCAGACGAGCACGTGAGCCAGTTCGAACAGGCTATCGCCGATCTGCGGAATGAGGTTTCCATCCTGAAGTCCAAGCTTGCTCAGCGAAGGGAGCTCCCAAGCGACAGCATTGTGGAAGGCACGGCTAGCAAACTGAACGCACATTGAACACACACGTACCCCCCCCTCATTGTGTTTAACTTCTTGGAGATATGTACACTGATATTCACAGCCCATGTCGCCACATCTTTGCAAGACTGAGGTGATGAGAATGTCCTGAAGGAGGCCAGCGAGAATTGGAAGTTGGAAGTCATTCGGAATTTGGAGAGCCGGACATCGTTGCAGCGTCCGGGGCTTGATTCGGATACGCCTCACCGTGCACGCCTATGCTGAAGTGCCCCCGCAGGCAGCCTGTAAGCCACGGTTCAGCACTGCAATCGCTGCAAGGTTCGCTGATTGATGTGGAGCGTGGCCTAGTTCAGTGGAGAGTTGAGCTCGGGCAGGCAAAGGACCGCAACTTGCCTGCGTGCTAAGCCACTACAAGTAAGTTTGCCCGGCCCAAGCGTTACGGTGTTCGGTCTTTTACTTTTCGGAGTTTTTCTGCACGCTGCTACGAAGCAGATGAGAGCGCAGGACATCATCTTGCATTGGGAGGGGCGGTCGGGCAGCTCGCCATCAAATCGCCGCCGCGTGCCCGCATTCGCAGACCTCAGTCGGGCCAGTTTAGAGTGAAGTTTAGAGGGTTTAGAGGGTTTAGGATAACAGGGACAGGGGGGGGGGGGATCAGCCCCGAAGCCACACAAAGCATCAACCCTGAGGTTCTGATGCACGGTCCTTGGAGGAGTGGAAAGAGGCCACTGCGCAGATCGAAGAAAACATCAAGGACAGACAGAACACATTCCAAAGTTCCTTGTTCGGCGGGTTGCAGCCCCCATCACTACATCGCACGCTGCGACTCTGGAACAAGGAAAATATCGAGACCAGAAGGTCATTGAACGAGCGTCTGCAGCAGAACAAGGTTGCAGGCACTGTACCCGACATGCTGTGAAGCAGTCTGTGCAAAGCATCGTGTAAAACCTTTTGCTCCAGGCAAAGAGCTGCAGAAACAGCTTTCCCAGCGCGTCCTCAACGAGGAGCACTGAACGCCTCAGAACCCCCTCAGAGCCTCAACGGTTGTGTTGTCTCGGGTGGAGGACTTGCGGGCATTCCTGGAGCTCATCCAGCGGGTGCAGGCGTGCATGATCCATGCTGAATCATGCTGGCTTGTGGCACACACCCAGTCACAAAAGGTAAGGACTTGCTATTAAGCTTGCATAGACTGCTAGAGCTCAAGCTCAGAGCAGCTGAGGTCCTGGAAGTGGAGAGGCTCGAGCTCGACCACTTTTGGGAAATCCACCGGCAACAGCTGGAGCAATCAGACCAGGACACCGGAGAGACGTCAAGCAGTGCTCCTCACGGTCCTGACAGACTTGTGTTGGAAGGAGATAGCTATGCTGCGAGAGCAGCTCCGGCTCAGAAATGCACACATCCACGAGCAGCGGCAGCAGCTCTCCAAAGAGAAGCAGGAGAAGATGCCAGGAAGCTTACCTGCAATATACAAAGCCTAGGAGGACCAAGATCGTTGTCAAAGATGGGCCCAGGACACGTTTTCCTGTTGGGAAGCACATTGGCGGAGTCTTCTCCACAGCGCGGACCGCTGCGAGTGATGCAGGCGTGGGCTCCATGGAAGCTCTGCAGCAACATCTCGCATGTCACCGGCAGCTGACTCTAGCTGACTTGCACCCGCCATGCCGTTGACTTACCGAACATGAAACTTGCACCGAGGAGAGACGAGGATGGGCAGGAACAGGAACGGGTAAACAGTGGAAATCTGTCGGTGTCCGAAGAGGCAACCGATGATTTCCCGATGCAAGATAAAATCAATTGGAGGGCCTTGGAGGCGGCGCTGCCTTGTCTGAGCACGTCTGTTGATTACATATGTCTTTAAGAGACTTCGGGCTGCGCTGGTGACTTTAGTGTAGTCTGCAAGAGATTCAGGTTCCACTGGCATCGCAGATCAAAGGCCTGGCACAGCTACAGCAAAATGCCGGCACGTCCCGACTACTTGCGGCCAAGGCACACCGAAAAGACGGTTGAGAAGCATATGTCAGCAATTGTCTGCATGTGAGTTTTTGTTGTGCATCTGGGAAACGTATCCAGAGAGGCTTGGAAGGATAAGTCCCTGCGGAGCATCCCGGAGCGGGCCCGGCGGCCTTTAGCCCTGGCACGCAACGGCGTAGCGCCCCCGCCCCTGGCACCGCCCGCGCCGCCGCGGGAGCTGCGGGAGCCACGGGAGCCGCGGGAGCCACGGGAGCCTCCAGGTGCGGTGCATCCCCCAAACTCCCCGTGGAAGATGTCCGCCACCCCCAAGGTCAGTCCGGAAAAAACAAAAGAACACATTTCGATTTCTCTCTGCGTGTGCTTCTCAAGCCCACACGTCGCCAGGCAACTCGAGCCCTTCGCAAACGCGCGGAAGCACTTGCCCGCCGCTAAGGAGGAAATCCTCGCTGGAGGTCGGCTGTTTGGTTTTTCGTGGCCTTCAGCATGACGCACCGGCTTAAATGGGCCAACTGTCATCCCATGCAGGCAAATGCCTTGGGTGGCCAGCGTCAGCCTTCCGTGGGCGACGTCCGGTCGCCAGGCCCAGCACATCAGCGACAAATCCTGCGTGCACAGGGTGTCGCAGCGCCACAGCGGCAGCCACTCAGAGGAATTTGGAGCTGTCCGCGATGTGGCAGACAGGTTTGCAACAATAATACTTGCCCTGCAGTTCCTGCGCACAAGTAGGCTGCTACAAGTCTGATAGCCGCGTCAGAGTTGCTATAGACTTTGTTAATTCATTTTGGTATTGAGTCGGGGACCTTCCTGGGCCCAGGCTGGATAAGAACTCCGGCATCTCCGGCGCCTATCGGGACAAGAGCCGTGGAAGAGCCCGCAGTGAGCACTCCAGGATGGCCAGAGTCGGCCGTAGCTTTGTTCATACACCCGGCCGCTGATCGCCCAAACTCCCCGTCCTTCGTTGCCGCATATCGGCTGAAGTCTTCGAGTCTTGTGTTATATAATTATCAACGCCTCCAGAGTTTAAACAAATGGCCCTCACGCAACTTTGCGACGGGGGGGCTGAAGTCGGATGGCAGTTTCACCCGTTTCGGCCATGCCGACCCACCCGACACGGCCTCGGCCGTCCGTTTATTCGATCCAACACCCTTCTTGGCGAGAGGAGCCGAGGAACACCCTTTTGCATGCAGGTTTGGAGTGGCTTCGCACGTATCATCCATGGCAATCACGCTGAGCCTCTGCAGCCATTTCTGGCGTTTCAGAATCCAGCCTCCGGGAACTCAGAAGTAGTTGCTGAGCATGGGTGCGGCACCGACGCGTGTCGACTCCAGGACAGTGTGCTTCACGCAGAAGACGCCACTGCGAAGTCCCCCCGCTGCTCGGTACAAACAAGGCGGCAGTCACGCACAGAAGGGCTAGTTCAGAATGCTGAGCGTGTGCTTCAGCTTGCCACTTGACCACTCGGACTTGTGGAGCTCCCAAGGCTGGATTAGGTGGGTGGTGCACGGCCTGCACAGTAAGCATGGAGCTCAGAGATGCACGAAACTACTCTAAACTAGCACAAAAAAAGCGCGCGAAATTGCACGGACTCCCATGGGCAGGCAGGGAGCAGACCGACGAAGACTGGCAGCAAAGCCATGTGTTCAAGCATCCTCTCGCACCACTCCTTCGGGAGCTGTTTCTTGGCAAAGACGCGCAAAGGCCTTTCGCTGAAGCAACTATAGTAACTATAGGCTCCAAAGGCTCCGAAGACGGAGTGGTTTGCTGAGGTTCGACCTTCAGGACTTGGACTCGAACGGATTGCTGGAGGAGATTCCAAGTATTCAAACATGTTCCCTTTTTGTTGCTTCACTGTTGGTTGCCGTGTTGGTTCCACAAGTCGACCTCTTGGCAGTGACAGCAGAACCTGTGCCTGAGCCTTTGGGACCTTGGAAAGCCCTAGTTAGTTGGGTTGGGGCCTTGTGAACCTGGTAGGCCCTGGAGACAGACTGCCATGCAGGAGTCAGAGCTCATAGAGCTCAATATCGTGATTGCCACGTTGCACTACGGTACTTGGCCTGAGGGGCGGTGTCTCGTACCAGTAGCTGTCCGCGAAAATCTGCTGTTGAAAGCTCCAAGGTCGGGACATTGACAGGGACATGTTGCACAAGAAGTATCAGTCACTTTTCAGACTCACAGCGGAGTTATGTCGGAATGAGACATGGGGAGTGGCTGCATTGGGGCTATCAGGGACCAGGCTTCTGCGAACGCACCACAAAGAGAGCCGAGGACAGCGCCTGGATCCCTTTGGCAGGGGCGTTGGATTTCGGACCTTCCTCGAGTACATGACGCAGGTCCTCGTAGACTACGACAAGGACATGGCTGCTCAGGAGATGATTGTGGAGCAGTTCATCGCATCTTTGCCAGCATTGAACCACACAAAGTCACAAAGGCACATTGAAAAGGCAACTTTTGCATCGCTTGGGGTTCACGAGGCAGAGGCGAACCTGGCCAGAGCCTTGCTGTCGAGTGGGGCATGGTGCGATTCGAATAGGACTTCAGTCTAGGAAACTTCAGTATTACGTGCAGTGTTTCATATTTGCCTATTTGGGCTGCCAATTTTGCTGCGTCGCTGGGCTTGGGCACCAAGTCTGTAAATTCAATAGGCCCGCACGCAGTATAGGTGTACGTTGGAGCTGTTCACGACGGTGCAAAGCACCTCTCGCCACATCATCGCAACTTCCGTGACGGAAGAACAGACTCGGTGCATGCAGCGAACTACTTCGTCGTTCTCGATATTTCCGCGATAGCGCCTTGGGATCTTGGGGCCATCAATTACCATCACTTACTACTTTGCGAACTCAAGAACTCGCGCTTGATACGTGGTCTCGCGCTTAGGGCTTGCGGGAGGAGTTTGCTATTCTGAGGGTATGGGGAAACAAGTTTGGCTCAGCAGGCACCAGTCTGAGCTGGCATTTGTACAGCGCTGTGTACTGACCGAAGCGTCAGCATTAACATCTCGCGCTGCATTGGCACCCCCGACAAGCAAAATGAAAGCACAGGTTGACGTTGCCCAGAGGCCGAATAGGCGGAAATCGAGAAGAGCTTTGTGGCCTGGAAGCTGTCTCGGCCGTTTTGTGGCTCGCAGCAACGGTGTTCATCCTGAGCTGCAAAGCCTTTCGAACAGCAACGGGCTTTGCTTTCCGGGGACACGCCAACACGAGAACTGAAAATCTGGTCGAGCGACTCCTGCTGCAGAGGTTGGTCGCACAGGATGCATCGTACTCTGTCGCAAAACGTGGGCACCCCCTCGAACGTGCAACGCTTAGCATCACATGTGCGTCGTTGGGCTTGGGCGTGCTTCACATGCAGACCTCCCCGAGGCAGAAACTGGGGCGATGCCGCACATATCCGAGGCAAGATGCTCGGCATAAGGGTCAGAAGACCGTGTCTTGCCAAAAGCTGTGGGGTGTCGTGTGAAGGTACGTGCTGCTTCTAGGTTAAAGTCTCTTAACTCTTGAAAGAAGTACATCTCCAGCTATCGGTTCAATCTAAGAGGCTTGCCGCATCTTTGGCTGCAGCGAGTCCCTAATCCCGCTACAGGACCCCGTAGGCTACCACTACGTCGCCACCCCTTTCTTTTAGACCCAGGCACGAGCTGGAGCTTTGCTCACCGAGCTGCTCCAAGGCCAGTTTGCCACAACGTCACAGCGCCGGAGTCCATTGCAGTTGCGCATGGGTTATGACGGCTATGAATTCAGAATGTGATGTGCGTGAAGTGTGAAGTCTGCAGGCTTCAAAGTCGAATGCCCAGCTTCTGCTGCACGATCACTCATGACTCCACTGGGTCTGTGGCCAGAGCTTGGGCTGAGGCTGGAATCTTTCAGCGCAGGGTTCAGCAGCTCTTTGAGAAGACCGATTGCGGAAGCCCAAAGGCCCCCTCTGGCAGAAGAGTAGGCTGAGTAGGCTGAGTAGGCATGCTGACGCCTGCTCTGAAGCCGTAAACTTGGCCCTGTGCCAGCGTCCAGGAGCCAGAGGACGTGCCTGGCCTGCCCAGCTTAATCAAACGCGTCTACGTAGATGTCCGGGACCTTAACGGATGAGCTCCTACGAGCTGGAGCTTGTACTTGTACCATAAACCCGACGAAAAAAAGCGGCTTCCTGAGGTCTTTCAGCGATACGGCCAGTGCCTGAGTGCCTATGTCCTCACAGGGTTT